CCCGCAAGCCAGCCCGGCCTCCAGAGGTGATTTTGTTCTCCTTTCCGGAAAAATCTCCACTTGGCCCTTCACTCACCCCGTCTCAGTTTGCTGACGTTGCTGGTATTTTGGTCCTGGTACCAAGGGTATATTTACTTTATCAACTTTTCTAGGAGTCGTTTTCCATGTTTAAAAAAAACCCTGAAATTCCTTCATGTACACAAATAGTGTTTGTGCCGACCTTATGTTTCTACTTTTCAATATTCAAAACACATCTCTTTTAGAGCCTGTTTCAAGATGGGGAAGAAATGAGTGTGTGTGTGTGTGTGTGTGTGTGTGTGTGTGTATTTGCATATTTCATTCCCCAGATGTTCCTGTTCCTTTAAATCACCCTGGCACTCGTAAAGGAAAGAAAAAATAACCCAAATTCCTAATTCTTATAAACATAGAAGAAAGATGATTGAAAAACCACTCCTGGCTTACTGCTGATTTAACATATGAAAATCAGCAACTTACAAATTAGTAAAGATACACCACAGAAGTCTTTAAAGCAGTTTTTCTGGAAGAATTCACTAGCCTTTTATTGGTACCGAAATGAAAGTTCTTCTGTTCTTGTGTTGGGGGGAAGGGAGCGAGGTAGGTAGGAGGTCTTGAAACATACATAGCATTCCTTGTAAAGTCTCCAGCTAAACTGCCTTTGGGGAATTTTCTTCATATAGACCAAATAAAATCCAGAGGATTAACTTGAAATGGGTATAATTTATTTACTCACTTTTATTTGATCATTCATTTGTAAAAATACTAATTTGGGCCTGTCAGGTCCACTGGTACTGTGAATAATGCAAAAAATATCTGATAGAGATCTTGCCTTAAAGAAGTTCAAATCTAGCAAGAAAAGGCATGTAAACCACGAAGGAGATGCAACATCAATGATAAATGTCATAAGACAGAGCCAGTATAGTTGAGTCTGGCCACATGGAGAGAAAATAAAGATTTTAAAGCTATTCATCCTGTTTTCTATCCTGGTTAAGTTGATAGAAACTCAGATTTCCCCCTTTAAAATAAGACCTCACCCCCCCCCACCCAGCACCTTTGGCCTGTACCCCAGTTCTGTATGCATAAATAAATAAATCTTTCAAAAAGAAAAAAATTAAAACCTCATCAGAGTATTTAAGGATTCCCTTACTTCAAATTGTGTAAGTGTGAAGTACTTTGTAAATTGCAAAGTGCCACACAAATACACACAAATATTTATTTAACTTAAAATTTTTTGGAAAACATAGATTGGTGGGACCTATAATTTCTATTTTTTATTTCTGAGGGACTGCTGAGTTAAGGTTTCTAAAGACCATAAAGAAATGAGCATAAAGGACAACAGCCCCCCTGTGTAGGAATGTCTCCAGCCCACGCCCAGGCTTCAGTGGTATTTGCGCGGGTATCTGGGGACCTGTGTCCTGTTTGTAGCTCTCCTCCCTCCTGCAAAGACTGATGACCCTGAGGGCCAAGAGCCATTGATGGAATGACCAGGAGGTCCCAAGAGGGCCCTGTTCCCCATATCCTTTGTAACTGGGGAAACTACATTGACTGGGAGATTTTGACCACTGAGGGCTGTGTTTCCATAGAACAGAGAGTGTGATCTTTACAGTCTGCAAGTAGAGTTGGGGGGGGGAAAGAAGAAACAGGTGACCACGAGACTGGTAGCCCATGGCAGTACCTGCAATCAACATTCCAGCAGCAGCTTATGACAGCAGGGACCTGGGTCTGTAAAGACAGTGCTCAGTGGGTTTGTCCACACAGTCCAAAGATCACCATAGAAAATTTAGAGGAAGAAAAGAGATTGTAGTCCTGGACCTACCACTAATCTAAACTCCAAATTGCCTGACAGTCACCACAAAGCAGTGAAATTCTAAGAAAACTGAGCTGAAATCACCAAGATAAAGCTCTTTACATAGAAGAAAATAGTATATGTGTGCTGTATATATAGATACATATGTAAGCTTATATATTCATAAAATATAAGTGTATACAAATGTGTTTATATATTATGGAGAGGAATATGATTCTAGGTACATAATATTCACTTGCAGAGAACTATATCCTAATGTGAGTCAAAAAGAAAACTTTCTTACTAAAGTTTATGCAAGAGTATATAAACACAGTTTCCCTTTCAACAATAGAAACATGGAGAAATGCACAATGTTTAAAGTATTCTTTCAGCGTCTTGCTTGTTGTGGACTGTGAATAAAGACCTCATGGAAGCATTGCAGACAGGATAAAGATTAATGACTTTACTTTTCTTCTTTATTAGGTCAAGAAACTATAGATTTGTGGCTTCTATATGCTAGATACTAGAGAATTTACTGAATATTGTTGCTGAATTCTTCAAACAACTAATACTTAAAGACTATTAGCAGTGCAAGTTAAAGACAGATATAAATAAAACTCCTTGTAATATAATTAAGGAGATGATGATGATAATGAAGAGGCATGAAAATTTTCAAGGACAATTAGCCAAAAGGCAGTGTTTCAAATAATTCACTGAGCCTTAGAATCATGGGGCAGCATATTTAAAAATCAAGTTCCTTGCCTGCTCCCAGAAATTCTGATTTACTAGGTAAATCCTGATTTACTGGTGTGGCCCAGAAAGCTGCAATTTATCAAGCGACCATGGGGTCAGAGCAAGAGAGCTGGAAAACAACAGTACTTTCCTCTAGGGTCCCCTAGAGCCTGTCCTCACCTGGGTGGGTCACTTTAGATGATTCTAAGGCTCTAGAAACTGTCCTACAAGAAAACAAAAATCTGTACCGGATCGATCATAATTTCAAAATAATCACAGTTAGCCTGATCTCTTTGAATTCCAGTGTTTCCTTCCATCGTTGATCCCTTGAGATTACTGAGGGCCTTTTAACACCCCCAGAGTATTATGTCCCCACAGTTTTGCCTGCCCTGTGGCTGGTGATTCTAAGCCAATGCCCCAAGGGGAAGTCCTATGGCAAGAGCACCATCAGAATGCAAAGTCTAGAAAAGCCACGTCTAAATAAAAAGACTCAGTTATTGGAAAGGTAAGAACAATGAAAAAAAAGAGGCTCCAAAAGAAAAGGAAAATTTAAGGAGAGTGTTGTGAATGTAAACCCCGAACAACTCCAGGTGTACCTCCCTGAGAGCCCGCAAACCTTGACCAAAACTCTTGGTGTAATCACGCTTGTTACTTTTACTTCATTTCAGTTACTTTGCATAACGTTATAGTGTTAGTAAGTATTGCAAAAGATTGAGTCTCCTTCTTCTACCCCTAATTTTGTCATTAAACAAATGACACAAACTAGAGATGACATTTAAGTAGAATAAAACAGCCTAATGGAGAGAAATGTCCAAATTTTACTAAAAGATGAAAAACATCCTTATGTTATAGAAATTCACTATTAACCTGAAGGAGTTGGAGGAGGAAGAAAGAAGATAGTGTAGCTGAAAGAGAATAAGACTGGATTTAAGTTATGTAATTATTATAATGCTAATTATTATAATGACAGTTATTAGCTGTATGAGCTTGTGGAACTTTTTTAACCTTTAGCTTCCTGTCTGTGAAATAGAAAGAATACCTCCCTCAAATGTTGTGGGATTCTAATGAGTTCGTTAATGTAAACCATTTATCACAATGACGGGTCCTTTTGATACTTTTTTCTGTGTTCCATCCGGTCTCTTAAGACAACTTGCTGTTGTGTGTGTGTGTGTGTGTGTGTGTGTGTGATAATCTTCATTTATTATTTTATTAGGGGAAAATGCTATACTTCTGAGAGACTGGTTACGCAAATA